AGTTTCACTTTTTAAATGGAATTACTGAAATCAATCTACTTTTTCATGATATTCTAATTTTATGACCAGCACCTGTATAGTCAGGTGTAGGGAAAAACCAAAAACATTCAGGACATCTTCTGTCCTTGGCAGAAGTCTGCTCACACGGAGCTCGGTTTTGCTGGAAGTATCTTCCTGTTAGAAGAGCTTTTTCGCTCTACTGTCCTTGCATCCATGCTCAGTGTGAGGGTTAACTGCTGAGTCAACAACACAATACAAGGGAATATCTACTGTTGATACATGCTCATACAGGAGTCATTGACTCATTACAGTCAGCTGGGTTTCTTAGCAAAAGAAACATTTAACCAATCTGCCTTTATGATTTGTTTACACTGTCTCTTCAAAGTGCCTTGAAATGACATGTGTTGCTAATTGGCGCCATATGAATTACACTGAAGTGAATTGGGTCCTGAGAACCGATGTAAAGACTCCTGCTTTATAATAATAGACTAGGCAGACGGGTCTGCAACAAGTCCTTAAGGTCCACTATCCTGCAACATTTAGATGCAACTTGTTTTTTCTCTATCACACCAGAATCAAATAAATAGTTAATTACCAGGGATGCATCTAAATTCACTAAATTGGTAAGGACTCTATCCAAAGCGGATCTGCATCAGCGTTTGCCTTGGTAAGTGCCGTCTAAAAGGTGCAGGTGATGAGAAAGGAGGTTGTTAGGAATATTTTCCATGATGACGTATGTCTTTTAACTCTAATAATACCTCCCTGTTACGTGTCAAAACCAATAGTTTCCCTCGCAGTGTATTTAATTAGGACAGTTCTTCTGTCAGGATAAAATGTCACCTTCATTATGTATATGCCAAAGATTGGGGAATGTAATGAGAGTGGTGTCCTTGATATAAGAACATAGTGTAATATTTTGATAAGGCTGCAGCCATGGATGTCTCCTCATCCGCAAACGTGAATGATCTAATGATGTGGCAGACTGGAGTTGTATAAAATGCTTCTTTAATTGTGATCAGGGCACGACTTCATAGAGAAGCTAACCCGGTTTGGTAAGCGCTGCCATCTTTAAGCCTAAGCAATTTTTTGTGTCTAAGATTAAAATTTCTGTCAAAACCTGTTGTCATATTCCTTTGTTATTTAATAAATAGAAAAATGAGCCAGTGTGTATCCTATTATTTGTAATTTAGCATGATCTCTCACCAGTGCTAAGGAGCTATAATTAATCCAACAATTCATTATAGCAGGACATGACTTTTAAGTACATACCACCTTGTGGAAAAAAAAAAATACTGCTTGACGTGTACTGTGTGTGGCAAATAAATGTACACACCTTCATACTGGTTTGTGTAATGAGAGCTTCAAATACTCCCTACATTTTGCTAAGGCTGTATCATCATCCAGGTGCGTTTCTTTTGCAAAATTACGGCTGGGAGGTTGAAGGACGTCTCCATCACAAAGATTAAATTACCCACAGGTGTACTGTATTGACTAATCGGTCAACATCTGTTTGCACTAGATTTTCTTAGGGGAGTCTGAATGGAGGAGACAGAAAGACATGTCATACTTTTCAGATTTGTATTTGGTCCATCAAGGGATCACATTAAAGTCTTTTGTATCTAAAGTTGTCATGATGAAATAATAAAAGGTTATTAATAATTTTTTTTTTAAATGGAAGAAGGATACTGAAACGAAGAAATGTTCTTATAAGGAGAGGATATGTAAAAAGAGGAGGCTGGCTGAAAGTTCAGCCTGTAGATGAAGGAGGTGGGCTTTCAAAAAAAAAAAAGCCTGTCGCATGCAGCCTCCACGGGCAATGAGGTCTCTTTGTCAGGAGCAGGAAATGAGGTTTCTGTTGTGATTAAAAGGAAGGTTTCTATGGCAATGCGGAGAGCCGTGTGCACAGATTTTTTTTCCTTCTTTTTTTTGGGAGGAGGGGTGGTGGGCTGAGGGAGAGTTGAATTTCAAAGAAAGCAGCTTCCTCCATCTCATCTCCCACCACCACCACCCAACTGCTACAGAACCCTTTTATATCGGATCATCTGTTTTCATAGCCACGCAGCTGCGACTGGAGCAAGTATGATCCCAAGCCAGGCAAGTCATAAACCAGTGGCAGTTTCACTTCCTGAATAAACACTGCTGTCAAATGGTACCTGGAAATAACCTTTAATTAACAACAGTCATCTCAGTAAATAAAACGCTTCTGACCCAAATATGTCTTTCATCCAGTTATTCCTCCCCTCGTATCCATTTACAGCAGATATAAAAAACGGATGATGGCATCGAGGTGACCTTTATAAGACAAAAATAACACCAAGCTTTGTTAATTGTTTCAGAGAAAGAACATGTTACTTTAAATAATCCCCTTCCTCTTGTGTTTTTATATATAGGAAGCAGTTCTCTGCAGTGTATGTCGTCTTTGCTCTAGGTTATTTGGAAAAAGTTACATTTCCTGTCATTTAAAGAGATTTTTCTCTTTAAAAAAAAGCTGTGGAATAAATAAACCACTCTGACTGCTTATAGCATGGTAGTGTTCCTGGCATGGTACGACAGCAAATAGGTAACAGAACAGTTTGTGGTGAATGTCAACAAAGAGCTAACTCAAGGGCATGTTAGTCAGACAGAGATCACACTCTACTTTGATGCAAATATGTCTGCCAAAGATGGTCTTAAATCAGAAAAATGTTGGGATTATCTAAATGCGAGAGCATTGTTGAGACCACAAAACATGTTTTTGCTTTGGGAGGCTGCATTCCAGATGTATTTAAGCCCAGATGAGTTGACATCCACCTCCAGACAGAGACCAAGTCTGTTTCTGAACAGGAAGTTTCCTTTTTAAAGGCCCACAAAGGTATCCATTCATTATACCTTCACTCTGTCAGCTACTAGTGAATACAATGCAAATCAAACACTCACATAACCTGCATAAAAGTTCTCTATCTCTGTTTAAAATTAAATCAGATTACATTTTTTTAATCCATCTGTATTACCAACATTTGTCTGTTCTGTAGAAGTAACACATTTATAAGGTGGGGAAATTTCAGCACATTTCTTAGCTGCTTTCGAATTTAACAGTTCACATTCGTTTACTAAGGTTTTTAGGAAATATTTTTAAAACATATGACTTTGAACAAGGCCACAATACTTTTCCATACAGATATGAGGCAGGATTCTTCTCATCTACACCTTTCCAGTCTTCAAATCTTTTAAATGACTCAGATCAAGACTATGAAGGCCAATCCAAAACATTTATTACATTCAAGGCACTTTGTAACTAATATTGGTGGTTTTCTTAGGGAGACACTATATCTGAGACCCACCTGTGTCTAAGCTTTAACCTCCCAGATTATGTCTTTATACTTTTGATCAATTTCCCACATTACAGCATAAAGTTTGTGCTTACACATCACACTTTCAAAGCACTAACGAACATGCCAAGACATGAAATGATATGAGAGTAGTTTGGAAATCATTACATTTTGCTGATCATCTCATATGTATAATTTTGTGAATTTACAACACAATAATTTTTCATCTTTTAAAACTTCTAAATATAAAATTCCTTTACATCCACAATATAACTTTGCATCACCTTGACCTCAATTCAATTCAATTCAGTTTATGTATATAGCTCCAATTAACAACAAAGGTCATCTCAAGGCACTGTACAGTTCACCAGACCATACAGTCAAATTAATTCCTCAATTGAAGTGTTACTCTAACACCTGGGCCTGCACAGAAAATCCCCCACCACTGAATGCCATCTATAGATATCTTCAAGTATCTACAGGTGGCACCAGTATCCTGTGTAACTTCAAAAATGGCTTAGAATAAGATTTTTTGAGAGCCGAAAACAAATCTTTAAATCTGGTACAAGAAGCACAAATACAAACTCTGACTGGTACACTTCATAAAATCTGAAAGATGGTAGGAAGAATAATTGGTGATGAGTCATATTTAGGAGAAATTGTCTTTGTGAACTACCCTCCATCTCTGAAAAGGTGTAGATGTCTCCAAAACCAGACTAGAAAAAAACAAAAAACAGTTGGGGTATGCTATATTAACCTTTGTATTGATCCTAATTAATATCTGAAATTTACTATAGTTATTTGTGCACTTTCCGTAAATGCCCTCTACCCAAGTCTTGCATGTTAAATTTTAGATCTGTTTGTTGTACTATTTGAAAGAAACCACCAGGTGGAGCCAAACTGCGTAGGTACATTACACTCTGCTTCTTAATGTTGATAGTTATAACATCAGCTTTAAGAAACAGAAACATATATATATGTATATATACACACACTGTTCCATGTGTAGTTCATGTGTAGTTTTATGTTGATTTTAAAAAAATATTTTGCAGTTTTCCTTATAGTGCTAATCTCTTTTTATTTAATTACTAGTTGATCCATCTTTTGTTCTGTTAAGGTCGCGGTGGGGCCAGTGCCTCTATCAGTCTATGGGCAAGAGGCGAGGTACACCCCAGATAGGCCGCCAGTGTGTAGCAGGTAAATTACTAGTTCTATTTTAAAACAGGTACAGAAAAATACTGATCATCTCTTGAGAAAAAAATGTTAAAGGATACTTTAGCAGCTTTTTGAAAACTGTAACAATGAAAGGCTTGTTTAAAAATGACTTTTTTTCCTTTTTTTACATTTAACTACAAAAGTTCTAGATTTTACAAAAACAGTTGTTAGAATAAAAAAATCAATAATGCTGTCAGTTAATGTTTTTTCTTATATTTGCTCTTTTTATAGAAGGAAAAGTCCTAGCAGAAAAAGGGGTATATTGAAGATTGCACAAGCAAATTAAGACTGTGTACCTAACACTAATCCTAACCATTGCTAATAACACGAGAGTTTATAATTCTACAATGGTTTTCTGATATTTCAGTATTATTTCTTAATATTTATAATATGCATGACTAATAATGCTTGCACAGTGCTGTTTCTTGGAAAATGCCTATCGAGTAATTTAATAAAAGCAGATGGAACAAAGAAAACTGTAGTGTGAACATGTTGGTTTATTATAACATATAACTGCTGATTCCACATGAGGTCATCCTCGTAGATGTTTGCCACTAAATCTGGAGTTCATCTGCTCCTTGTGGGGGTTGAGCTCTCTCTTTTCTGTATCAAGGAATCTTATAAGGAAAATAATAATATAAATAATAAGATTTCAGAAAAAAGAACATCATCATATAAATCATCCAAAGCCTTTCAGACTAAATGTGGGGCTGCAGTGGCCTTACATGCTTTATTATTTTCCTGCGTAGGCACTCTCGTGAAAGGGGACGTTCGTCCTCAGAGCTGACAGGAGGCTCTTCTGCATCGTGCTCCAAACTGAAGAGCAAAACAAATGAAACCATCAACAACATGTGTTTTTATTCTCAGATTTAACTCGACAAACTGAAAGGCTGACCTGCTGACAGATGGCAGAGTAGTGAAGTCTTGTTCGAGGAGCTCTGCATTGCGATCTTGAAGGCTTTTGGTCAGGTCTGTTTGATTGGAGTCCTTCTCCTAAGCCGACACAGAGAGAGGCCATCTTTCAGGTTGACATGAAAGAAAATATTCTTTATATAATAACAATACATCTACTGGTACAACCTTTGAAGGAAGGAAAGCCTGCAGAGTGAGCTCATTTATCTTCTCATTTATAAGACTCAGGCAGATGATGGTGTGATTCTCTGTGATCTCAGAGGAGCAGCCAGGCGTCTCCTTCACTGCTGATTGGTCACAGCACATTTCAGAGAAGATGCTGTCCACCCCTGAGAGATAAAAAGGCATTTAATATCAAAATTATATTAATCTAATTGAATGTACACATGCAGCATGTGTACCCAAATAAAAATAAATAAATAAAATAAAATGTTTGTTCTGCTTTGATATGCATTTTGATTCACCTAATACATAAAGATCTATCATAAAGCCTTCTAAATTTCATGGATCATTCCTTGTATGCAGTCCTTTAAGTGGAGAAAAATAGGGACTGGTACTCCTCTTGATGCCATACAAATATGGCCTAGAAAAATGGGTAATATTTCACAGATCTATGTATGGATCAATAGATCTGTAGTTTTATTGCACAGAAATTAAGAGGAAAAAAAGAACAAAGCCAATTCTAAATCAAATCTATACAAACCGAAAACAAAGTGTTATGAATTGACTAACTTTAAGCCTTATGGTGTTAACATAGAAATATAAAACTAAATTTGAAATTTAAAGATATAAAATAAAATCTGAAAAAAATGTTTGTTTGCGGGTTCCCCCCAGATTTGCCACATACTGTGCCTGTGGAACCAAATGCTGAGGCTCCCAAAAAATTGGACTTATGAAAATCCATAATTACACTCATCATAATAACTAATAATTGTAACTCATATTAACAGCTATAAGCAATGCAAAAATATTTTCTCAATTAAAAGATGGACTTCTGTCCAGTACCCAGGAAAACCACAAACAAAAACACACTCAAAAAAGGAAAAACACAAGGAAGCACAAATTCTGATGCAGTTACTAACTACAAAAGCAAAACATAACTTTTTTAATGAATATAAAATAAATGCAAAATCAACAAAGACCCATGTTCAGCTTTCAAAGAGAAACAGCTGAGGAGAGGGAGGCAATATCAGATGCGAATGGTGGATTGCATCATGCATTTATTGGGTTCCTCCTTTTAATCCCCCTTAAAAAAATGTCTCCCTGTTCATTTTTCTCCATGATGAGTAAAATACAGTTATCTGGTGTGGTAGCATATGCACCATTATTTTTGCCAAAGTCTTGGTACCTGCAATACACTTGGAAAAAGTTCAGATTTGGAAGTGATGGTACTGTGTTTCCAACTCACTTAAAGCACTGATTATAGGTTGTACTTTTTTAAGCAACTCAAACCAACGCACTTTTAATCCTACATTGTTAATTTGTTGACAACATATTTTGCAGAAGTTTAATTATAAAATATTTAATCATGTAATTTTGGTTTTTGTTATAAGAAATCTCAACAAAGCATTGAATAAGGTTAACAAAAAGTAAAAGGTGTCTGAACCTGTTTTTACTTTATCCAGGAGTTCGCTTAGAAGGACAGCTTCGTTTTCATACGTCTCTGCTTGAGATCGAGTTTCCTCTAATTTTGGTTCCATATCTTTCAGCAAAGAGGCCTTCGACTGTGATGCTTCACAATGAAACTTCTCCATCTCTTCTGTGACCTGCAGTGACTCACAAACTGATAGTTAGACTCCACTTCAACTCAGCACACACTGTCTTGTCTTTCTTTAAACTGTTTTAGTTACCAACATTGTGTGTGAATAAACTTGAGACCATTATTTTATAGTCATTATTTATGTGTAAAAGTGAACCAGTAAAACAACCAGATACCTTCCTGATTTGAACCTTCAGTTTCTCAGCCTCAGCCTTTTGTTCAGTGATGACTTTCAAAAGGGCCAGGTTTCGGTCTTCAGCTGCTCCACAAAATAGAAATACATCAATTAAATACCGATACCTTCACTTCGATACTGGTTCCTGAACGATACTTTTTTCGATACCAGTTTTATAATATCAATTTGAAGAAAAAGAAAATTACGCAACATAATAAAGTACAAATCTTGAGTTTTATTTTAAGCTCAGATTTTTCCATTTACATTTTTCCTCTTACATAAAACATTTTTTTTTCAGTGAAGAAGAACAGTTTTAAACAAGTCATTGTCTAATATTCACTGTTACATTGTGAGGACCTTTTTACTTAGCAGTTATTCTTTAGAAAAATTAACATGTCTGCTTTCTCAGGAGACAAACAAGCCCGTTGAATGGGGTCTGACAGAAAAAAAATTGGAAGGCAGTATGTTAATCTGGATGAACTGATTGCAATGATTAAGTTTTCAGGTGGATTTTCCCACTTAAAAACATAATAAAACTACTTTATTCCCACTGATCACAGCAAATATAGCTGCAAGGCAAATAAAGGATAGAGTAGCTCCGCCCAACGCGTGTCATAGCCACTTTTCGACCGCGCAGCCAGAGCAGCAAAGCTGCTTCAGCTGCGCGTCAGAAGCTGGTACAAGCAGCAAAAAGGAAGCAGCAGACGTGATTTTGCTGCTCCTGCTGCGTCCGGTTTGAAAGCAGCATGATTCACTCCGCTCTGGCTTTGCACTGCCCACGGGCTGCTGAGAGGAGTATGGTTGCCCCGGCTGTGGTCCGCTCTTCTTGCAGTCAAACACCGAGCAACTTTCTGCTCTTAAATAGTTTCCGTGCAGGATGTATTGCATTGCGCACTATTGGCATCAGTCTTAATAAAGGGAAGCCGCACTTTTGGCCTGGGGGGCATTTTAAAGGGGTTCCACGACGCTCGCATCCAGTTCACAACAGATACACATGAACCCTGGCTGTAGGCGGGACCACCTATGTATTTTTCATGGATGGCGCAATCACGTTAAGTGTTACAGCCAGTTGATCTGGTACTGAAAAGTAAGGTTGATTTGACACATTAACCTGAGAACTGGATATTTATGGTGACATGATATACAAAAAAGGATGTTGTTTGATGAAATTTGTTGTTTGCTTTTTTTCAGTAAAAATGTAATAAAATGTTATTGATGCTTTCCTTTTTTCTTTTTAGCCCAAATTAATTTGTGGATCAGATACAGCCATAACAAAAACGACATTCCTGTAGAAAGAGTTAGGCCCAGGCTGAATATGGATGGAAACAATGTCCAAATACAAAGAAAAATCCTTTTAACATATCCACAGACCCTTTTAAAAGCACAAAAACTACAAAAATGTAGTGTTAACAATGTTTTGTATATATCCACCACACCAACAATCAATAATGCCATGGTGTCTATACCACTGAAGTAACCAAGTGAGGTGCATTGTTGAAAGCATTTGTAAAACCTGATTTTTGTGGCTTATACCGACACAGACTGCCATGAGTATTAGCATTTGTTTTATAGCCAGACACTCTAAAAGTGGACGTGTATGAAAGTCAGACCTTGGATGTGAATGTTGTCAAACAGGTCCGGGTTATCCTCCAACACACTGCGGGGCTCTTCGGGCACCTCCTTTAGGTTGTCCAGAGAATGTTCTCCCAAATTCACTTTCGTCTCTTCCTTAAAATCTGATTCTTACAAATCAAAATTTGAACAAACTTAACAAAGGAGTCTTTGCTGCTAATCTACAATACTTTAGATAACCTTATATAAAACAACCCAACAGTGACGCCTGTTACAGGGATATGTACCTCAGGCCTTTAAGGTACTGTAGCTGTAATTAAACCTATACTTAGAAACCTTTTTTTGACCTGGTCAAATATAGACCTAATCTTTTTTTTTATTTAAAATTCTTGAGAAAATAGTAGATAAACATCATAGCAATAAAAGAGCACTGGTGAAAGTCTCTAATGATATTCTCATGGCTTCAGCTATCTGACTTATCCGTACTTGTCCTGTTAGATCTTAGTGCTGCATTTGATACAGTTGATCATAATATTCTTTAAGAAATATAATAAAAGAATAATGGGTGAAAGACAATTGCTACACCCCCTGGTTATCCAACTCAAGATGATTTGTAAGATCCCACATCCCAACTGTGTTTCTCCGAGTGACGATGTACAAGGGTGTAAAAGTGGATTTTGGCCTGATATGTTTGTGTAGGTATGTATATGTTCATTTACATGTATGTAAATACATATATATAAGCAAGTTTAACAGGAAGGTAACTCCACTTTAAGTTAATTTAAGTGCAATTAGAGGGAGAGTGGTATGAATAATAAGTTTTACTTCCTTGTACCCCTTTTCAGATAATTTACATAAATCAATGTCACTTCTCTGGCTGTATATACTTACAGATTTATTTGGTGAAGGGCTTTGTTTCTATTAATGTTCAGGTGTATTTAGTTAGTTTGGAAATTGCTGTTTGGTTTGATGTTAACTAGTCTTTTTGTGTGTATTTGTATTTATTCATTTATGTTGCTTGTCAAATTGTCTATCTGAAATTGTCTGAAATAAATATCTATCCATTCATTCATACATTAATATTGTCATGCTCAATATTTTACACACCTTTGAGCTTAAAGCATGGTCTTACCTTGTTCCGTTCCCTTTTTGTCATGAAACTCACCAGTTTCCTTGCACTTGGTGCTCATAAAGTTATTCAGTTTGGAATCATGTGCAATAACCCTCTCTAGTTCTTTCACTTCTTTGTTGTACTGAGCAAGGGCCTTCATATCCTTCTCAATCAGCATCTTCTTCTCAGCCCGAGCCTTCTCACTTAAATACAGGTTACATAAATCAGCTTCATCTCATACTAATTTGCTACAAGCTAATCTGAAATCCCAAACCTTACCAGAACTCATGAGCAGCGTTCCACTCCTTAATTATTTTATCCTTGCTCTTGCAGATTTTCTGCTGCTCCTAAAACATATGTTAGTTCAGAGAAGTTGTTAAAACGCAAGAAATAAACAAACAAACAAAAAAATGGTATGATTGCTGTGTTGGATAAAAAAAGTATATCCTACCTTGGTAAGGTTGTTTCGCAATTTTTGAAACTTGTCTCGCTCGCGATAAAGTGTGTCCACCTCTTCTTTCACTCGGTCGTTTTGGGTCATCATATCATTGTATTTGATGGTAGCCTGAACACAGAGTATATCAAATTTTTGATGCAGTGAAAATGAAAAAAGTACAGGCAGAGATGACCTGAGCCTTGTGTTTACTACTCTTGCTTGAGTTTACAATCATGATTCTAATATCATTTGAATGTTGAGTAAAACATAAAGAAAAAAAATACAATTATTTGGAAATATTGTTCAATTTACAGTGCATCTATAGCATCAGAGCATTTCTAACAATTTACACATTTAGCTGATAAAATGGTATTAATTTTTTTGTAATTTCAAATCATGACCAATCCACAGAATTTACCACCGGTGGACTCCTATTACAGTTATAGAAACTTCTCAAGGATGATCAGTGGAAACAGTATTCCCCTCAGCTCAACTTTGAGCTTTACAGTAAAGAATGTGAATACTTCTGTAAACTTGATTTGTACATTTCTAGGGTTGCATATTTTCATAACTCACTCTGTGCAGCCTGTCTTCCAAATTACGCACAGTCCTCCCTGCCTTTAATCTTTGGGATGGATTACTGCTGACTGCTCTTTCTTTTTTCATATCTGCCAACTTGGACTCCGTGCTCAGAATCTGCACACAGTTCAGAAAAGTGACTTAAACTGGTTTATGTGCCCAAAAGCCTAAATAAACAACAACAAAAAATATAAGAAAAAAGACCTGCATCTGCAGCTGTTTTTGACGTTGCTTCTCCTCCGCTATCTCTCTATCTAAAGTCTCGTTTTGCTTTAGTAGAGCCTGCAGATCCTTACTGTCCTTGCGTTGTTGAGTCAAACCGCGGGCAGCAAGTCTTTTACGAAGCTCCTCTTGTTCTTTAAGCAGATTTTTAATCATCTGTCTTCAATCAGAGATCAAGAAATACTTGTAATTAGAGTAGAACACCCAGTGAGAATCAGACTACAATGTTTTTTCTGTTCTTTATTCACTCTTGCTTGGAGATCTTCTTCATGGTCTGGGTCTTATAAGCCTTCTGGTCTCTTTTCATCTTTCTTAACTGTGCTGACATCTCTGCTTTTTCTGGGACAAATAATCATGACAAATTTCAGTATTTTGCTGATATAACAAAAGCTGAGAAAGAAAAAAAAATTATTTCTGAATAACAACAGATTGATAAGATAATGATAACATACCCATAACAGCATCAATATTGGTATTGACTGAGTGTCCACTCATGGTGAAACTTCTCTCGGCCATCGCTACAATGCGCTTAAATCAAAGTAAAATCAAAATATGGACCTTTTCTAAATGCAAACATATTTAAAATCAGATGTTTACATCCCTGTATAACATAAGCCTTTTCTCAATCTCTGACTTTAAATCAGATTAAGTGTATTCATGTAATGATGTTTTTTGGGACTTTAATTGGTAAAATGTATGTATTTTAGATTACTGGAGACACATCTGCATACAAGTTAAGGTAACAAGGTAACATCATAAAAACACTGCTTATCATGTACAGGTGCTGGTCATAAAATTAGAATATCATGAAAAAGTAGATTGATTTCAGTAATTCCATTTAAAAAGTGAAACTTGTATATTATATTCATACATTACATACAAACTCATATATTTCAGATGTTTATTTTGTTTAATTTTGATGATTACAAATGACAACAAATGAAAATCTCAAATTCATCATATCAGAAAATTAGAATATTGTGAAAAGGTTCAAAATTGATGGCCCCTGGTGCCACACTCTAATCAGCTAATTAACTCAAACCACCTGCAAAAGCCTTTAAATGGTCTTTCAGTCTAGTTCTATAGGCTACACAATCATGGGGAAGACTGCTGACTTGACAGTTGTCCAAAAGACGACCATCGACACCTTGCACAAGGAGGGCAAGACACAAAAGGTCATCGCTAAAGAGGCTGGCTGTTCACAGAGCTCAGTGTCCAAGCACATTAATAGAGAGGCGAAGGGAAGGAAAAGATGTGGTCGAAAAAAGTGTACAAGCAAGAGAGATAACCGCACCCTGGAGAGGATTGTGAAACAAAACCCATTCAAAAATGTGGGGGAGATTCACAAAGAGTGGACTGCAGCTGGAGTGAGTGCTTCAAGAACCACCACACACAGACGTATGAAAGACATGGGTTTCTGCTGTCGCATTCCTTGTGTCAAGCCACTCTTGAACCACAGACAGCGTCAGAAGCGTCTAAAGAGAAACAGGACTGGACTGCTGGTGAGTGGTCCAAAGTCATGTTCTCTGATGAAAGTAAATTTTGCATTTCCTTTGGAAATCAAGGTCCCAGAGTCTGGAGGAAAAGAAGAGAGGCACTTCATCCACGTTGCTTGAAGTCCAGTGTAAAGTTTCCACAGTCAGTGATGGTTTGGGGTGCCATGTCATCTGCTGGTGTTGGTCCATTGTGTTTTCTGAGGTCCAGGGTCAACGCAGCCACATACCAGGAAGTTTTAGAGCACTTCATGCTTCCTGCAGCTGACCAACTTTTTGGAGATGCAGATTTCATTTTCCAACAGGACTTGGCACCTGCACACAGTGCCAAAGCTACCAGTACCTGGTTGAAGGACCATGGTATCCCTGTTCTTAATTGGCCAGCAAACTCTCCTGACCTTAACCCCATAGAAAATCTATGGGGTATTGTGAAGAAGAAGATGCAATACACCAGACCCAACAATTCAGAAGAGCTAAAAGCCACTATTAGAGCAACCTGGGCTATCATAACACCTGAGCAGTGCCACAGACTGATCGACTCCATGCCACGCCGCATTGCTGCAGTAATACAGGCCAAAGGAGGCCCAACTAAATACTGAGTGCTGTACATGCTCATACTTTTCATGTTCATACTTTTCAGTTGGCCAACATTTCTATAAATCCTTTGTATTTATTGGTCTTCAGTAATATTCTAATTTTCTGATATGATGAATTTGGGATTTTCATTTGTTGTCATTTGTAATCATCAAAATTAAACAAAATAAACATCTGAAATATATGAGTTTGTATGTAATGTATGAATATAATATACAAGTTTCACTTTTTAAATGGAATTACTGAAATCAATCTACTTTTTCATGATATTCTAATTTTATGACCAGCACCTGTATATGTGATTGCAGATGTTAGTAAAATATACGCAGTTTCTTAGTAGATATAGAAGTGTTTATTTATTTATTTTTTTTTTACAATATTTAGAGCATTGCTTTTCAGATCATTCTATCAACTCCATACTGTTTTTATTCTCATAAATTATCATGTGAATATTGCCTTTTCTATTAATAAGTGCAGTGTTCTTATTACTTCTATCAAAGTTCCCTCTTTTAATTCTATTGTACTGCAGATTTTTTATTCATTTATTTTTATATACTTATAAGTTGTCTGTGTAAGTTTTATTGTCTTTAGTCTTCTGGATTTTTTCACAGACTTGAACTTCTACACTGTGGAACAGAAAAGGCTCGTCTTATCTCATTTTTAGAGTGAAACTGTGGAAAATTAAAAGAAGTTAAGAAATATCTTCACCACTTTTTTTAATCATTAGGTTACAAATTACAGATGCCTGAAGGTGAACAGATTATTCTTTTAAATAACAACATGCAACCTATTTTTGTTCTAAACCGGGGCCAACAAGTGCCAGTGCCCCTGTAGAACTGGCCCCTGTACCGAAGATATGAATTAAAATCAATGCATATGATGACATCAGAGGTGAATGACTTGTTCCATGGACCTATTTTATTTTCTACCTTTAGAGTTTTACTTAAAAGATTAATAAAAAAATGTAGCTACTGCACTTTTAGCTTTAGTTGAATTGACACAGGATCACAGTTTCCAACCTGCACTTCATAAGTGACTCAGATATAAGTGGCTCACTTAATAGATCATATTATATTTATATCGATTATAAATGTTACCCGTTCTGTTTATGTTTCTTTTTTTTTTTTTACTGGGTTCCCATTGAGAAACTCCATCCTGCTCCCTCAGGAATAAATAAAAACATAAAGTTATTTACATTTTTAAACAAATACATTTTAACTAGAACTGTCACTTCACGCCAGGACCAGAACCATGGAAATTTCCACTGATTATACTGTTGATAAAGAAGGCAAGTTCTATGTCCCACAGATAAACGCAGCAGTGGGGCCTCTGGAAATGTATTTAATTTGGAGCTAAATTCTTATTTAACAAACTAGATATTTAGTTTGGAGCTATTAAAATATTAAAGAAACTAAATATTTAATTTTCAAAGAAAATATTTTTTGCAAACTAAATATTTGGCTCCAAACTAAGATTTTTATAAATGAATGATAGTAAAAAAAACAACGAAAAACCAAATTTTTCTCTTAAAACACGCTAAATACTCCATAACGGTAAAGCCACTAGTACTTTGAGAAATGGAAACGGTGGTTATTTATGATAACGACTGAGCAGCGGCTAAACATACCGCGGCTAATTGTGTTATAAGGTGTAAAAGTACAGTTATAATGTTGTTATAATTGTGTTTTATTGGATAGGCTGAACAGAACAGTTAGGCTATCTTATAGCTACACTTCATAAGTACAGATACCAACACACAGTAAAAAGCAAAGACAGTAAACTTACCAGTTTTCCTTGGAAATGGCAGCGCATGTTAACAAGTTGTTAGCAACCGTTGCTATGTAACGAGGGTATAATTTCCCCTGGGCTTCGCTTGTTAGGCATAAGGCACAGCTTTAATTTCCTGAGTAAAAAAGTATCTCATCCCACGTTTAAATAATGTAAAGACAAATTATACGTACCCTTCTATTTTTTAACTATATATTTTTGAAAGTTTACCCACAACAGATGATAACTGTTTAGCAATAGCTTAGAAGATCAGGTTCCCTTTGTTGTAGCTTAAAAAAGATACATAATTTTCAAGGCTTAAGACAAACTTCATAAGCAATTCAATTCAATTCTATTGATTCAGTTTATACTGTGCCAATTCATTACACATGTAACCTTGAGGCACTTTACAGAGACAATTCAATCAGATCATACAGACTGGATGGTAAAAGGTTTTCTATGCAAAACCAGCTGATTGTTTAACACGATCATTAACTTTTCAGCATATAATTCTCTCCAGGATGGGCATGTGGCAACAGTACACGTCTTCTTCCATTGTATTGTTGATTCTATAGCAAACCTTCACACTGAGCATGCATGCAGTGACAGTGGAGAGGAAAAACAAACTCCTTTATAACATGAAGAACCCTACAGCAGAACCAGGCTGAGAGTGAGTGGCCTTTGATGACAGCAACTGGGGGTTCAACTACACATAGAAAAGGAACATAGAAGCGCTGATTTATAAATACTTTCTGCTTACGAAAAGATAAATGTCAACTAACTCCACAAATGGCTCTGTCCCAGAAACAAATAATAAAGCAGACAAGTTCTGATTCAGTTTTATGTCAAAACGGATAAAAAAAAAGCACATGCAGTTGGGCGGAGTAAAGGCTAAGCTCATAGCTATTTCTAGGTAACAGTACTAGATACTAAAAAACAGGCAAAACTCTATTATCTATAACTGAAGGTGTTGGAGGGAGGATCAAACCTGATATTTCCCTCCATTATGGTATCACAGTGAAACAACAACAGACCAGACAAAGCCACAATGAAAGAAAAACAGAAAGAAGATAAAGTTAGGGATTTAACTAACAAATACTGCAGAATAGGAGAACTGGTCTTCATTAAAAAAATATGTATGGTCTCTTTGTAAATTTACAATACATGCATGCTTCTCTAAAATATTTTATTATTTATTATTTTGGTGTGGAAAAAATATTTCCCCATCTACTTCTCCTTTCTTTCCTGTAAAGACCAAAAAGTGAGCTTGTTTTGTTTTCTGTATTGTACAGAAGGACTCTCAAAGGCTATATATGGGACCTATCAACACCTGAGAAGCTGTTTTTCCCATATGAGATGTTTTTGAAACTGAGCCTTAGGTTCAAGGTTATTTACATTTCTCTAGTTGTTCTAAACTTTCTGAACCTTGTTTTTGTAAAGATTCGTATAAATCCCCACCAGTTTTCTCATAAGTGTTAAATATTTATTGTAAAAATACTGTATCTGTTCTCCCTCATAGGGATAGGTAAATAACTACTTTAATGAAGACCAACAATCTCATTCTTTCTTAATTAGAATATCTTCTTTTCTAGTAAAAATCAAAAAATGGTTAGGAATAAGGAAACACAAGGAAACATTTTATTTAACAGAATATTGTTTTATTTCTAGTTTAATTGCTGTAGAACAATATTTAGTCTTTCTATTGAATGAAATAAGGAGCAAAGTTTTAATGGAAACAAATCTCTAATAATACAAACTAATAGTCCTGGCATAATTTATATTGCTTGAGAAAACAAAAACCACAAAAATATTGGCATAGTTCATACATTATGAAACACAAAGAGAAAGGGAAGTTATGGTTCTGTTTTGCCTCAGTTCATCATAGCTACATTTACTTGTTATACAGTTGAAATATTTTTTTTTCTCTATTCTTAAAAATGTAACTCAAACAAAAATAATCAAACATATTTTACAAATGAGTGGGTAAACTGAGTCTACATGGTTCTGTTACTTTGTATTGTTTACATATTTGTATGATCTGGTTTAGTTTTGCTACTATTATTTATTTATTTATTTTAACTGTAGAGCTGCCTAGGTGGCTAACCTGTAGCCATTCCAGTTGAAATATCCTATCAATTTAAAAGGTAGATTCTGGTACAAGCTTTTCTTTATCATATCCCTGTGTTTGGGTGTGAATAAAGCTCAGTCACTCTCCTCCCTAACATATCATCCTGTCCTATGTCCTCAAACAGGACTTCTTCTAAGTAAGACAATGTGATCGTGTTGGTGAACCTGGCATGGAAAGCATGCCCTAGTTGATCCAGCTATTACATTGTCTCAACTGTCAAGTTATGAAGCTACTATAAAAAAATGAAGGCTCTATAAAGGTCAACACTGACACTTTGGAGGACAGAGTTCGGTTCTTAATGGCATTTTTACCTTGGTACCATCCAACTTTATTTCTCTTGTTTCAGTTCACCTTAACTCCTCTCTACATAAGTGGTTTTTAGTTACAATTGAGTACCTTGGAAATGTGGGCGGGGTTATCATAGCCAAAATCTATGGATGCTTTCCAGTAGTGCTTGATTAGCGCAGGCAGTGAGGGAGGAGGCAGGAAAAGGAAGTAGATTGTGTCCTTTAACAAGTTCATTTAGCATAATACAAAATCCATTGTGTGATAGCATGTATAGGCCCAGCCCATCTAACGGTGTTGAGAAAAAATATATTATGCAAATGTATGCACTATCCTGTGTTTCTAATTATCTAATTGAGAGCTTCAGCTGTTTGTTATATTTGTGTTACTTTTTTTTCTGGAAGGATGTAATTCTGATTTGACAAACATCATCCTAGTGTGTGTCTATCACATAAAGGTAGGTAGGTAGGTAGGTAGGTAGGTAGGTAGGTAGGTAGGTAGGTAGGTAGGTAGGTAGGTAGGTAGGTAGGTAGGTAGGTAGGTAGGTCATTTTGCTGATGGTGGTTGTGGCTCCTCCTGGGGTGGTGTTGGAGGAACACCCTCCAAGAAGGTGCAGAAGTGCTTTGGAGTGTTTAACTCAGGTTTCCTAAACAGCAGGTAACATTTGGGGAAGTAATAAGCAACCACCAACCCTAAATTACCTGCAAGAGTGAAATAAACATGGACTGTAGACTTATCCTTTGATACAGTGTGGATATTGGTTGTCATGGCTGTATAGACTGGTATAAATATCACCCAAATTACACAGTAGATCAGAGCAGAAAAAGTGATGTTCCTTGCAAGGTTATACTGATGATGAGGCTTAACTGCCATAAAGGTTGACTTGAATGACACAAGGGCCATTGCACCATTAAGGCCTTGCATAACAGCAAGTTTATCAGGAGACACAGGGCATGACAAAAATGTCTTCTGAAAATTAATCTCCATTTCTGCCTTGTACTAAGCAAGAGTGGGTTCATCACGAACAAACTAACCGCAGAGAGCTCCTTGCACAGAACAGCAGATTAAAACAAAAATCCAGCTGCCAGGGCCTCTGAGTTTTGGGAGGTGAGGGGCCACCATCTCCGGGAATTCAGTCACAAGGAATATCTGTTTAAAAAGAAGAATTTGAAGCGTAGTTATTGATCCTTTTGTCATTACCCGACATCAAATCTGACAAATGAAAAAACTTGCATAGCCAGTATAATGAGGCAAGACATTTTTAAACAAATCTAAACAAATAGCTGTCCAAACTAAAAGAGAATAATTAGTGTGAGCATGTATGAATATAAGTTTCTATTACATCTGTTGTTAAATTGCTTTGCACCTGTATTTATTTTTTCCATGATAATTTATATATATTACGTTATATTTATAGCAAGGTTAGTTTTTTATTTCTTTTAAAAAAGCAATATCTGTAAAACCCAAGAAAGAATTTTAGTGTTTGTGAACCATATGTTTAAAAAAAAAATTCTGCTTGTGTAGTTGCTAGAAATAGCCACTTGGATGCAGTATTGTACCTGCCTGTACCCACCTGCAGTGACAGAGACAAGATAATGGAGAGAGCTATGGTTTGGAAAATGGTGATAAGTGGCAGTTGAAGATGACACACCACATCATCACGCGGTCCAAGGAAGAGAAGCAGACTCAAACAGGCTCCCATCAAGCTTAGTAGAGTCAGAAAGGTCAGGACTCCCCCTGACGCCTTCACCAGTGGGGTCCCTCTGTGTAATAGGAACACGATGCTTACTGACACTTGACATATAAGCAGCACAAGTCCCGACATTATAATCTCCAGAGCGTCATATGTGTGCCATGCCAAAATTTCAAAAACAGGGGGACTGCAGTTAGTGCTGCATACTCCAGACCACGTACGATTAGGACACTTGGTGCATTGGATGTCATCTGTAAGGTAGAAAAACAACAGAAAAAAAACAAACAAACAGTATTAGATGAGGTTTAAGAGGTGATTAACTTTGAATATAACCATAATAGCACCTTATCTACAAAGATGCATACCTGAAATCTTCCGAATAAGATTTTCTATTAAGTCTCCAAGGGTATGCCCAAAGATATTTGTCTAATTTTTTTTTCAATGTTTTCTTGTGTGGTTGATGTTTTTTGTCAATCCTATTAATCCAATAATAATCAATGAAATATTATTGCTTGTTTTACTCTAATTTTACACTATACAATTAATTTTACAGTATTGTCTATAATAGATGATAGACATTTGAGCTATTTCTGCAATCTTAAAAGGTGATAGAAATCATGCATATATGGATGTATGATTTGGAATAACTGCATATTTCCATACTTTTGGCTCTGATTGGAAGATAAGCACTTCTTGAGAGCTCCTTCTCTGGACTTCGGAGAGTCTCAAAATGAAGGAGAAACCCAGTAAAAAAAACCAGCAAGAAAGTTACCCTTCCCTAGGTCAGGCCTTACCACTCCATTTCAGTTTGGGTGGTATTTATGTTATTCTAAATGGCATGGTCCAACGTGCCAAAGTAGAACTCAAACAGAATTGTTGTCCTGTTTCTTTAAGATCTATTGTCTTTAATGCTAAATGATCTTTGGTTCTGAAGATGAGTTGGAAGTAGGCTAATACGATGTAGTCAGAACAACCAACCTAATTTTAAGGTCACTAATAGGGCCATAACCACACGTGAGTCACTGGCCCAACCCTCCATTCAGTTCAATGTTTGGGTCGCTGTTGCTTGACGATCCAAACATGTCTCCAGATGCCATGTGAGTTGTTTTGATCACATGTCCCAAGGTGTGAATTGCTGTTAAACCTCCAGGAAAAACAGGTGAAAGCTGAGTATTTATGTTATTATTCTGATTACAATTTAAAAGTTAGTTAACACAAACTCATTGTATTGGAGCACATTTAACAACTGCCTGACATATTTGAAGCATTTTGCAGAAAACTTAAGTAAGCATATTTCAAATAACTTGGCAAGCCAGATTGACAATGTGTAGAAATCTGAGTTTAGCTCTACATATAATCAAGGTGGGAAGCAGCACTTACTGCCTGCCTGCCAAAATTTAGTTTTAGCCAATCACAACAATAAATAAAAATGTCTTCAGTATTTCGGTGCATTTTCCTAAGCACCAATGTTAATTTTGGTTCAGTGTGGACTTGGCATGTCTTGCTTTCGTCACATTTAGATGTCTTGCCACAATGCTGTGATGTGATTTGCCAAACCTTTTTGGATCAGTCTCAAATGTTTGACTCAGGAATGGTACATGAGGGATTCTTGTATGTTTGTGAATGCACAAGGATTAAACTTGCATTTAGGCATATATTTGAATATAAAACGGTAATGACCTTGGCACTAGTTACTGGCTTGCTTGTTCATTCCATTCACCTGCCATGCTCCGCCTAGTTTCTCAATTTTGCCCACCTGTTTCACCTTTACCAGTCTCTATTTAACCAGCCTTCTATCCTGTCATCAGTAAAAAGAAATTTAATTTTGTATACACTCTGTATATACTGTTTGTATACAAAATGACAATAAAAGTTGCCTTAGTCATCCTGCCTTTCTTCTTCTGTTTGGATCTGCTCTCGTGCCTAGTGGCTTGTTTTTTTGGACAGTAGGCTGACAGGAAGGGGGGTATGAGAGAGGAGGAGAGACACGGGGGCAAGGACCACAGGCCGACCAGTTTAGTGACTCACACATCCATAACCTTCCTCTGCCAGATTGACGTAATCACTAACTTGGGTTTTCTTCCTACAGAGGTTGATATCCTATTGTTTTTCTGTCTGAATACCAGGTTCCCTGTTTTGAGCCCTGACAAATATACAGCTAAACAGCTATAAATGTATCTCTATTTTTAAAAACAACAGAAAATCTGCTTTTTTGTGAGTTACAGGAAATGGTTTAGTGCAAGAAAAACAATAAAACCTTCAGTTTTAAGATTGCTGTTATAAGGAGTGTTTGATGTAGCCAGTGTGCCTACAGATCTCATAGTGATTAGGTCTTGTGATTCACTGGCTGTTTTTACAAATATGTCCTGTAGAAATGCTGATGAAGGTTCTCAGTCATCCAGGTGATAGTCATTCCGTAAAAATTCAAAAAATATTTGGTGAATTGAGAAAGCTTCCTGGAGAGGTGGCGAAACGTCTTCAAATCTTGAAAACCAAGTCCAGTGGATATTTTTTGAATTTTTACGGAATCCTGTAGCAATGCTAATTTCTCAGTGTTCATACTGTGTCTAATCTTATTTTGACATACTCATTTAGATAGAGGAAGCATGGACTGCTGTATTACCTTTATTTGCTTGATAAGTACCAGGTAAACAGTCAATACAGTCATAGCAGCAGGAATGGAAACCTTTGACCCTGCGAACTTGGCCATCTTCACACTGCGCCGAGCAGGTTGACAGAGGAACCTGGAAAGGTTTTTGAAAAAAAAAAATAACATCATTTATATTTAAAAAGAAAAAAAAAGAAAAAATTTTTGGATGGAAAAAAATACTCAATTACCGTTGAGTCGTTAGTGTGCCATTCAAAGAGGCTTTCGTTTATGTCTAATTGGTTTTGCTTATATGTTCCCACAGTTTTGAAGTTAAACTCTGTGTTATTCCAGTTCCATTGTATAACACTGTACCCTAAATTCGGGTTACCATTTTCGTTGAACTTTAATATTGTGCCACTTATGTTCACAGAAGTATTCCTCAGAACCTCCAAAAGCTGAAAACAAGAAAAGAATCAAATGTTTATAAAAAACAAATAAACTCATGTGTAATATTTGCTTTGCCAGCTCTAGGTCTTTTAACAAACATTACCTTCCAGGGATAGATTTTTGTGTTTTCTCCCAATTTACAAACACCAGAATCACACTGAAGCAACGTATGCAGTGCTTGTGCTGCACTGTAGACAGCAGAATACACAGCAAAGCCCAGTCTGTCCACTCCTCGGTTATCTACCAAAGTGATGTTATCAGGCGAAAGATTCCAGCACTGTGGACAAGGGTTGTCAGGATCACCAGACTTTTGTACTGAAGCAGGCATTTTTTCCCTTTGCTGACTTATTTTTGTGAAGAGTGTTTTAGTATAGTTCATTAATGAATCCAGAGTATCCAAGTTGTCCATAAACCCTATGATTGTGCCAACATTTTTGATATTGGGGAGGGATATTAGTCGATTGTGGACAATCCAGCTTGAGCTGGCGATCCATACACCGGTTAGATTATTCTTGATGACCTGAAACAGAGTGGAGGGAATGACTTTCGACTATACTGAATGTTGCTTTTAATTAAAGCAGATGTGTTGCTCTGCTTTATTAATTTTTGAGATTGCCAACATTAATTCCATAAATGTGTCACTAGATGATTCAAACTTTAACATAGAAAAATCGGTTATACAATCAACTGAAAAATGTAACTAAGTGTTGTTGCATTTACAACAGTACAACTAATGAATTTATATTTCTTTAGCATTAATATAATCTATGAATTGTATCTATTCGTATTAGCCATTAGCATCTGCTATCCATTAACAGGCTCCTGTAAATATAGACTATTTGGTCTGAAACTGACATGATGCCCCAGCAAAGCCATATGATAGTAGTCTATTTGAAGGAAAACATTACACTAATATTTTTTTTAGGGGGTATTGTAGCAATGGAACCAGGTTATAATTAATTTAATATTAACATTTTTGATACCATTTTCAGAAAAATTTCAAACTATGGTTGAACATACTGTATGGTCTTTAATATAAGACCAAACCTTTCCTGATTTTAGGTAAGGAGGTATTACGAAATTATATGACTTTGGTCACTAGTATGTTGGAGTTTTGGCCCATTCCTCCTGTAGGGGCTGGTGTCACCATGTTAGGTTTTGAGGCCAACCTGCTAACACACGTTTTTCGCCTCTGCCCAGAAATTGTCCATGTACTCTAAAAAGAGAAGACGGCTCCAACTAAAATGAATTACATTTTAGATGCTGTGTAAATATATTTGCAACAAAAGCAATTATTTTAAGCTGGAACTGCATTCTCCTTTTACAGTGCACCTCCTTCCTGAACAGCATTATGGATTGAATTTCTTATGCAGCCTACAACTGCATATTGCTTTTATAAATGATTATAGTGTATGTTATCTGTTTATTATCTGGTTTGAAATGATTTAAGGATTTATTAAATAGCTTTGACATTTATTTGTTTTAAATACGTTATTTATTCATAATGATTTCTGAATACTTTTTAAATATCTTTAGTTTAAATGAATTATTAAAAAGTTAATGCTGCTTATTCATTTAGTATAAATAAGCATCAGCATTTATTTAGCATTTATTTATTTATACTTTTGCACCCTTTTTGCACTACATACTGTTTCACTAACCTGTTCAAAAAAGATAGCAGCCTGTTCCTGTAGGGCAAACACAATCACCACTTGCACCTTTGTAAATTGGATGTTGCTAATAATGGTTTGAACTGTTGGTACAGGATCGGTGTACACTGGGATCAGGGCCTGATAGGCCACACACACAGACATGTTCTCTGCTACTTTGGAGAACTGCTGCACACCACGTTGTCCGTACTCCTCCTCGCTGCCTATTACTGCGACCCAGGTCCAGTTAAACCTGTTCATAAGATTTGCCATGGCATCTACTTGCCACTTATCACTGGGCACCGTGCGGAAGAACGATGGGTAAAGAAGGTTATCACTGAACTTGTCACTGGTGGCTCCGTAGCTTATCTGAAGGAAAAAAAGTCACATTAAAATAAGCCATCTGAACTTAATAAAAAGCAAAGCTTTGAGTTTATTGCACCTTTGTTAAAAATTTGATGGAATTCTGAATTAAACATCCTCAAAGACATAACAATAATTTTAAAACAAAAAAGTTTTGCATGCAATAAGTATTTTGAAATTTCATACAATATCATAAGTGTGTGTATAAGAAGTGTAAGTGTATAAGATCTATAGAAATTTTTAACTTAATAGAATTTCATTAAAATGACAGCTATTCAGGCACTTAAGTAGATATCCATATATAGCTGAATATAGTGCATCATTTGGAAGTAAATTATTTGATTCTTAACTATAAGGTCTTCAATGAGAAGCTTTTAGAAGAGAATGTCTGTCCTACCTGTTATCTCCTGTCTACGTTAACCCTACCTACCTTTTTCATATAAATTTATAAAGATTGGCCAAACAACTTTTTTACTTTGTGTTTCTAATTAAAGGGAATTCATATGATTATCACAGGATACATAGGATGATAAGTACAACTTATAAAGTGATAAAACAACATTCATATGAACCAACTTTAAGAATTTTTTATGAAATTCTAAAGACATAAATAAAGATCCTTCAGATCTATCAAACTTTTTTTTAGGATCATTATCATAAACTGAAGTTTGGTGCATTTATAATTCCTTTAATTAGCCTCCAAATAGTGACTGGATTGCTAAACTAGTACAGTGATGTCATGTCACACCCTCTACAGATAAATATTGTCACGTCTGATACACATTTCATTCTTTCATTTTTTCTTTTAGGATTTAGAGTTACAAACTCTTATATTAATTATAAAATGTGTTCAAAATAACAACTGAATACTTTATGAGATAAAACATTTTCAAATTCTAAAATTGTTCTAATCAGGAAATAAAAGACAGTTAGTGCACGTATACAAGTATAAAAATAGCACTACTATACCTGTGGCATCAGAAAAAATCCCAGTAGTTTTCCAATGACTGACACCATTTCTGAGGTATAAGGACCAATGACGGCTGATACGCTGGTTTCATAGTCGGTATAATTACACTCCACTGAAAGCGCTTTGTTTGTTTTGTTTGTTTTTTTCGGTGAGAAAGGAGATAGTAGGCTTCACAATGATAGAGGAGTGTTTGCAGGTGTCGTAGATTTTATAACCTAATTTGATGCCTGGGAGCAAATCCTGTCTTGTGTTGATCTCATCCACAGCATATTTCATTACCAGAGCAAGGCCTAGTCCAAGTTCATCCAAACTGTGGAAACAAATAAGAATGAAGTTAAGTGTTAACATGAATTTAGGTCACATTCAAAAGACAAAAACTTAAAAAGTTATTTGTTTTCATAGTTACATTACCTTCCACACTTGATGCTGTTTGGCTCACTAATGAAACTGATGTTGTTGTTTGTTTGTTGGTTGATTGGAAAAAGTCCTCCAAGGTTTACATCTCCAGGAAAACTGAAAAGGTTTGTGGAGATGTTTTGGAACCACTCAGGTGAGCTCCCGGTGCAACATGGCTTAAACGCCCAGCACACGACACACAGCAGAGAGAAGCGTGAAACCATGGTGCTGATATGCTGGAGACTGCTGCTACAGTCTGGGAAACAGAGCACATTATGTGTCAGTGTGTCAAGAAATGTGGTTGCATGCAAATGCACCTGTAAATGCCCTGACACTATGTACGGAGTGTCACACAAACAGAAAAGTAAAAAATTCATTGTTCTTATGATCAGAAATAATTTTAATACAGGTGCTGGTCATATAATTAGAATATCATGAAAAAGTAGATTGATTTCAGTAATTCCATTTAAAAAGTGAAACTTGTATATTATATTCATACATTACATACAAACTCATATATTTCAGATGTTTATTTTGTTTAATTTTGATGATTACAAATGACAACAAATGAAAATCTCAAATTCATCATATCAGAAAATTTGAATATTACTGAAGACCAATAAAAACAAAGGATTTATAGAAATGTTGGCCAACTGAAAAGTATGAACATGAAAAGTATGAGCATGTACAGCACTCAGTATTTAGTTGGGCCTCCTTTGGCCTGTATTACTGCAGCAATGCGGCGTGGCATGGAGTCGATCAGTCTGTGGCACTGCTCAGGTGTTATGATAGCCCAGGTTGCTCTAATAGTGGCTTTTAGCTCTTCTGAATTGTTGGGTCTGGTGTATTGCATCTTCTTCTCCACAATACCCCAAAGATTTTCTATGGGGTTAAGGTCAGGAGAGTTTGCTGGCCAATTAAGAACAGGGATACCATGGTCCTTCAACCAGGTACTGGTAGCTTTGGCACTGTGTGCAGGTGCCAAGTCCTGTTGGAAAATGAAATCTGCATCTCCAAAAAGTTGGTCAGCTGCAGGAAGCATGAAGTGCTCTAAAACTTCCTGGTATGTGGCTGCGTTGACCCTGGACCTCAGAAAACACAATGGACCAACACCAGCAGATGACATGGCACCCCAAACCATCACTGACTGTGGAAACTTTACACTGGACTTCAAGCAACGTGGATGAAGTGCCTCTCTTCTTTTCCTCCAGACTCTGGGACCTTGATTTCCAAAGGAAATGCAAAATTTACTTTCATCAGAGAACATGACTTTGGACCACTCACCAGCAGTCCAGTCCTGTTTCTCTTTAGCCCAGGCAAGACGCTTCTGACGCTGTCTGTGGTTCAAGAGTGGCTTGACACAAGGAATGCGACAGCAGAAACCCATGTCTTTCATACGTCTGTGTGTGGTGGTTCTTGAAGCACTCACTCCAGCTGCAGTCCACTCTTTGTGAATCTCCCCCACATTTTTGAATGGGTTTTGTTTCACAATCCTCTCCAGGGTGCGGTTATCTCTCTTGCTTGTACACTTTTTTCGACCACATCTTTTCCTTCCCTTCGCCTCTCTATTAATGTGCTTGGACACTGAGCTCTGTGAACAGCCAGCCTCTTCAGCGATGACCTTTTGTGTCTTGCCCTCCTTGTGCAAGGTGTCGATGGTCGTCTTTTGGACAACTGTCAAGTCAGCAGTCTTCCCCATGATTGTGTAGCCTATAGAACTAGACTGAAAGACCATTTAAAGGCTTTTGCAGGTGGTTTGAGTTAATTAGCTGATTAGAGTGTGGCACCAGGGGCCATCAATTTTGAACCTTTTCACAATATTCTAATTTTCTGATATGATGAATTTGAGATTTTCATTTGTTGTCATTTGTAATCATCAAAATTAAACAAAATAAACATCTGAAATATATGAGTTTGTATGTAATGTATGAATATAATATACAAGTTTCACTTTTTAAATGGAATTACTGAAATCAATCTACTTTTTCATGATATTCTAATTTTATGACCAGCACCTGTATATCATCTTGTTGTTCAAAAATCAAAATTTTTCAGGACCGAGTTGCAGAAAAGCACTACTCATTATGAAGACCCTGAAATTTGTTTGTAAAACCCAAAATGCAAGTGTTTAAAAATTAGGATCTCAGAACAATACTCATTGCACACATAGAGTATTCACATACAGCAGTGTCTCTTACAATGTCTCTTACATGCCTGATTTTGGTTTACAGCAGAGTAGACGGCTACTCTGTTGTGCGGTGTTTATTGTGTATATCTGAAAGACAGCCTGCAGAAAGAAACAGTCAGAAGGTTAGGAAATAATAAATGCAAATAGTCTTATGTAGCACCTGAAGGTAAAATTCTACACAGTTGGAGTGCAGGATGTGTTGGATCTGCAGAGAAAATTATGCTTGGCAGTTTAGCCTTGTTGTGTTTTCGCTAAACCACATCATGATGGATGAATATAGGATAGAGTGAATGATGTTGTTGTAGAAGATGAACTACAACTGTCATGGTTTTGGTTCTGTTTTAAGTTTTCAATTTTTTTCAAATTTCCATTTTGTTTTTTATTCTAGTTGTTTTTGGGTGTATTTGAGTTCTTATGTATTTCTTGTTTACCCCCTGTTGCCCCCTTGTGTCAGTCTCCTTCCCCTAGTTCCCTCCTAGATTCTTGCATCCTCACCTGCTCCTTGTCAGCTCATTAGCCCATCTTTGTTCAGTCTCCCATTTATACTCCTGTTTTGCAGTTCTTCAGTGCTGGTTTCTCATCGTTTCTTTGCTCCTCATGTGTGTTTTCCATGACGTCTTCTGGTTTTTGGTTTTCTGTATTATGTTATTTTGGGATTTTTCTTCAGTTGCCTTTGGCTATTAAATCTGCAAGAAACCACCTCAGATTCCATCTCTGCATTTGGGTCCTCAAAAAACCTACACACAACCTGAAAAAAACAGTTTTCAGACAAAGTACTGAAAGACTGATATTTTGGGGCCGTAATACTCAGCTATATCTGTCTATAAATCCAGATGAAACTAACCCACTACATAGACTACAGGCATGTTCTGAAGACATAAAATCTGGATGACCCTTAACCCTCTGCTTCTGAATGCGGACAAAACACAAGTTATATTCTTTGGACTAGAGTCTTTGAAAAAGAAGCTGATTAGTCAGTCACTTAATTTGGCTGGGATTAAACTGATATCAGACAATAAAGTAAAAAAAAATCTTGTTTTTATTTTTGATTAAGACTTAAAAAAATATTTGCAAAAATCGTTTTTGCAAAAATCAAAATTTTTTTTTTGTATGGCTGATGCTGAGAAACTAATCCAATGCATTTTTTACATCAAGTGTGGGCTATTGTAATTCTTTACCATCAGGAAGTCAACAAACTGTAGTGAAAACCCTTCAGCTGATCCAAAAGCAGCCGGAGTGCTGATGAAAATTACAGCATTATCTGATGATAATAATATGCGATGTGAAACTTTATTTTGGGGAAGGAGAAAATATTCCTGAAGGTTATTATAAGTGGTCGGAAAGGAGAGTGTTGTGAGGAAATACTGCTGTTCCTTTACATTCAATGCCATATTGAGGATAGCGTTGTGCATGGAGCTGCCTGTTATGTCAGGCACCTTTCTATTGGTGAATACCGTATCTGATGTTCTGAAAGTATGCTCACAGGGGAACTTCTGAGACTATGGTGTTTTACCATTGGCTGTCATGGGAAACCTAAGATTACTCCACAAGACAGAGGAGATTGCTACTTTATTCTGCTTCCACGGGAGATACAGAGACACGAGTATCATGTGGTTGACAAAGACGTGGTTAGATGGATTTGTCCCGAACAAAGAGGTTTCCCTGGATGGCTTTAAACTTATCCGCATAGACAGGACTTTAGCAGGTAGTGGGAAAAAAGTCAAGGGGGGGTTGGCGATGTTTGTGAATGAGAGATGGTGCAGCGTGGCCCCTGTTTAGGCGAAGAAACAGATATGCTCCCTGGAGGTGAAGCTACTCACGGTGAGCATGAGACCGTACTATCTTTCACGAGAGTTTGGGAAATCAATTGTACTCTGTGTTTACTCCCCCCCCTCCGTGGACGTCAGCGCTGGGTGCGAGCGGATCCAAGGTGCAGTGACCAGGCTGCAGACATAGCACCCCCGCTCTCCCCTGCTCATAACTGAAAACTTCAATCAAGCCTCCCTCCGTTCCACTCACCCCACACTCACCCAGTATCTCACATGTAAAACAAGGGATGATAAAACCTTGGACCTTTTTTATGCAAACATTAAAAATGCCTGCACTTCTTCCCCTGAGAAACTTAGGGATTGTTTTAGAACCACAGGCTGGAGCATGTTCCAAAGCTTACATGGTGACGACTTCAGCAGCCTGACCGAATATATCCCTGACGACACGACCTTCTGTGCGAAGAGCACCGGACGTCTCCTGAGCGGAAAGTCCTCCTGAACCATAAAAAAAAGGGCTTTCAACTCAGGGGACAGAGAATAACAGCGTAGAGTTCAGCGAGAACTTCAATGGAGGATCAGGACGGCAAAGAAGGACTATGGGAGGAAGATAGAGGAACAGCTGGCACAAAATAACATCAGAGATGTGTTGAGTGGTCTCAAGAACATCTCCGGCTTGACCCCCCTCACACAAGCCCCCTCCCTGTCCTCAACTCTCAACATGTCTACAACCCCCAGGTCACCAGTGACCTACCCTCGCCACTCTCACCAGTCCCCAACCTACTAACACCCTCTATCCTGCCTCTCTCCCCCCTCACATTCACTTTGATGCAGCCAACTGAAGTGACTGAAACAGAGTAAAGCCTCTGGACCGGAAGGCTGCTGAGGAACTGTGCTGATGACCTCTGCGAGGTCTTGCCCCTGAGAAACTTAGGGATTGTTTTAGAACCACAGGCTGGAGCATGTTCCAAAGCTTACATGGTGACGACTTCAGCAGCCTGACCGAATATATCCCTGACGACACGACCTTCTGTCGAGAGAGGCTGCAGTTTGCTTACTGACCTGACATCGGAGAGGAGGATGCCATTATCTACCTGCTGCAGCGGGCGCGCATCAACCTGAAGACCACCGGGAGCGAAGTGAGAGTCATTTTATTTGACTTATCGAGCACTTGTATCTTATCGAGCAAAGATTGTTGAATTTGTAACAAAAAAGCTATTTTTTCCCCCATAAAATCCTGTCTGGTGGGCCTAGCTATAGTTTTGCCAAGCTATGTTTTAAAACATAATTGTTATGTAACTTTAGATTAATTTAATTTACCTTCTCCATAAATGGCAGATGACTTTCTGAACATTTATTTTAGTTTTTGAGTCGTAATGTCAATGTAAAAACTTTGCAACAGGCATACCTATAAAAAGATCCTAGAAAGATCCCCACTCTATTACTGAAAACTCAGAAACACAAGAAAACACTTAGAGTGGCTAACTACATAACATGCATATTAATTCACCCATATCAGTTAAAGGTATAGTGGAGGATTTTTGCAAATTCTTGAAAAGATATACCCTCTCCACTTAAAAAAATAAATGCACATGCACAACCCTGTACCTGCTTGAGCATGCATAAGCCCATTTCTCCTCGTGCACGCTCTGTTTAAAAGTTGCTGTTTGCATCGCTCCTATTAGCTTAATTTCCCAAAAAAATTGCAATTTTTTCACTATGTCAAACTCACCACCAGGAAGTGAAAATGGGGACGAGCACATAGGACGGCCTCATGTAAACATATCACCAGAATGATAAACATTTAGGAGGACCACTTATTTTGATGATCCACCCAGAAAAGAACATCCTCCAATATACCTTTAAACAAACCTCTACAGAAGAAAGCCAGGGTGCCTCCAGACGGCATGCAAAACCAGTCAGGCCCTTGATTATATCTGAATCTTCTTGATGTGAAGCAAAGATGCAAACAGCTGACATGCTAAGCACATCAGGTTGAAACTGAATAAAAAAAGATACTATATGAAGAGTTAAATATGCAAACAGGGCTGGAACAAGCAACACAAAAAGCATATCAGTCCCCAAAGAGAGTTTAGCTTTTCAATAAGTAGATATGAAGTTGAAGATTCTTTAAAGCGATGCTTTGTTTAGTCTATTCCTGTTTTCAGTTAAGTAAAGAGATTGATAGTAACCTTAAGATAAGTTTTGTAACAGTTTGTTATCAGATTTCTTCCAGCTAATGAATGAGTGCTTCATTGAAAAATCTGGTTTTAATTGTCATATATTTTAATTATTTTGATGTTCCTACGTATTGTTTTCATGTTTCCATAGAACTTTCTACCACTTTTTTATATATTTTTTATTTTTTTCAACCATTGTTTTTCTTTTGATTTACTAGAAGATGAATCTGTTGAATGTAAAAAAATTGAAATTTCAAAAGCCAGTCTAAACAGTGTTATTTATTAATATGAAAGGATAGATAAAAATTATTTCAATGATTTTCTGTCTAAAATAAAATCCAAGCCTGCATACAAACATCCAAAAAAACTGACTTCAATAAAATATATTTAGATTGAGAAGAGACTAAAGGAAATAACACAGGCAACTTTACTTTTAGTGTCTGAATATTGGAAAGCATTCATACACTAGAATAATATAGTTATAAATAACTTTGTCTCTGCTTTTGGGGGTCATTTCTGTTTAAATGAGGTTGACATCATTGACTATTAATTTATATATTTTCGAAATTGTTACTTGCACCGTTCATGATTGACCAACAAGTGGCGCTGTTGCACAATAAAATAGCCAATCATCCAAATTAATCTGGCTTTCACCTTTTTTCTGTCTGAACTGATTGACCAGATTTATTTTGTTGGAGCTGCTTTTATAATCAAGATCTTCTTCTCTTTATAAAATGTTCTTAATTATCATCTGAAACATGTCCTTATGATGAAAGGGAAATATCATTATACTATTACTGAAAGTGCAAAGGATCATTGAATATACAAAGAATGGGCAAGATGTTCAGAGGTTAGGAGATAGCTACTGTAGCTGGGGAATTATTCACACTATTTAAGTAAAATCTGGAGTTAAAACAGTCAATATTCTGACTGGAAGTGGTGTTTCAGATTTGATAAATGTAGAGCATTTAAAGATGCATACATGCGCTTTTGGAAAGAAAAATAAAAGATAAGAAAACAAGCAATAAATCTCCATATAATATATCCACAGAATAGAACAAATACACACAGACAAAATACTCTAGGCATAGAAAAAAGTGTCCACCA